AAACCTAGGCCTTTCGAGATCTCTTGGAGGGATCGTAGCCGTAGCACCACCACAAAAAAGAGAACCTCAAAATGGAATCCTATAAATAAATCGATAACTAATTTATGAACAGAAGAAGACACTCCATGATGAATAATTGATGTTGGGATGAAGCGCTCTTCCAGACAAATTACCAGAATTTAAAATAGTGATTCTAGCAATACCGTGAATTATTAAATGTGGCCAACATGTGGTGAGTCGGACTAGGTGTCATTTTTATTATCCTGGACAGTTAAATGTTTATAAAGCCTAGTGGCAAACAGGGGGCAATAGTGACCTGCTCTTTCTCGATACAAATGAGCTTGAAAAGTAACTGTACCAGTGAATTCTTTTTTTACAAAATAAGCTATTTTAGACTAAAATATAAAATTCCCTGTTGAGTTTCAAACAATAACCCAACTAGCAAGTCAAACTGTACACACACAGTGTAAATGAAATGCCTGAAAGCATGTTATTTTGTAGATCCATGAGCTGATTGCTTTTCATTTTAGTTTGCAGTAATTGTTATCTAAAAAAGTATGTATATTTTTACAGAAAACAAGGAAAATAAGTAGACTTGGCAGGGCGAGAAAATCTAGCACAGCCGAACCACTTTCCCGAATGTAAAACATTTTTTCGTGACGCACGAACTTCAACCATATGTTGGTTTGGCTCAGCAGAATTTTGGTACCGATATTTTAATTTGGAAACCGAATCAGAAGAACAAAGAAGGTTAAAAAAATTGGCCAATCAGCGTGCTGCAAAATGTATACATATTATATAATACGTGATACTAGCATTTTCCCACCATTTGGTCTACGGGTCAGAGAAAAAGTAACCAACAGAGGGTAAAGCAGTATAAAAAAAATAATAAGAAGAAAAAACCAGGGTGAGCAGTAAAAATAAATAAATATATAATGTATACAGCTGTTTGCAATAAACAAATCAAACAAAAGAAATCGAAATAGCTCAACATAACGAGTTGCGTTACAAAGTGGTTTCCCCAAATTCAACAGAAAAATGCTACTTTTAATGACTTCTCCAGTCATTGCAAAAAGCTGAAAGTCTGTAAATTTTGACAATAAAACTCATTTTATGGCGGTTGAATAATTTTGATTACAACTGTATACTAAATGCTATACCTGTATATAGTATGTATTAGGTTGCTAGGATTGCCAAAAACGGGGTACATTTGCATTGTGGCAGGCTTATGCAGTGTATAAATACTGAAACTAAATCCCCATTATTTTTGCCTATCCTGGGTGTTTTTAATAAAAGCTGTTGTTTTCTGTAAGCTTTGAGGTTGCTGTTTGGTAATTGGGTGCTAGTGTTGCATCTTGTATGTTGTGTATATATACATATATATATCTCATCTTATATCATCTTTTTTTCCCATCAAGTCATGTGTGCTGGAGGTGAAGTTGCACTTGTTAAATCACAGACCCCTTTCAAGCTAAAACACTGCAAATTGAGACTGTTTGCATCTTGTCCATTTCCAAAACCAAAAGTGGTCATAGTAACTCTTTGAACACTGAGCTTGTTGTCCCCCCACGCATACAGCCAAAACCCTTTGTCTACTTGTATGTATCCCCCCCTCTCCCCAACACTTCAGCTGGCTGATATCATTAACTCCATCATTAACCAATCATATAAAAATCATACATTTTCAAACATAATTTGCATAGCTAGCACAATAAGACTTCTATTACATATTTTCGGATTTTATTTTATTTTCAACTGATTTATCTAATAATTCCAACACAGTTTTATGGTGACTTCTGAAGACAATGTATTTGAAAAGTTTGTTCAGGTTGCGAATTATTTGAAAAGATTATCCAAAAATATTACATTGATGCCTATGTTAGCACAAAACAAACAATTCCGTCTATATTGCTGTATGGGATATATAAGAATATATTGGGAAATCTGTACAGGTATGTAAGATTACATAAGTACATTGTTTGGATATTGTTTTTGTTCATCCTATGCAGAATTTTATTTTAAATATTATATGAAATCAGTTTTCTTATAATAAAAACATGGGTAATAGGCGCTCGCTATAGTACAATAGATATGTTGGGGCTGCTGTATACAATACAAGGATTCCCAAGACCTCGTGTAATAGTGAAACAGAAAAAGGATATGGCGTATACTGCGCCCAAAATCATACGTACATAAAACTTCAGAGAGTATGGTGTAGTAAACCTCAGGATAATACAGGATAATGGTACAGTACAATCTGATAAAGTGCAAAATAGTGGATTTGGTGACTAATATAAGAACCACTCACATTTGGTAGAGCTATATTAGAGCTCTGCTGTATTGCGCATGGACAGTATGATCCCTGTCTAAGCATATAGGGTGGTATAAGTGTTGCTGGTCCTCTAAATGCGAATGCAGATATTGATGGTGAATATGGAAGTAGAAGAGCAGAAAAAACTCTGATAGTGTCGTAAGTACTGTAAACTGGAATTAAAAGAAGTAATGTACTTACATTTTTAAGAGCAAGACCTGCTCTAGTTTTCACAGCATGGGTGGTACAATACCCACCTTGGGATATGGTGATGCCAGGTAGCAAACAGGAAACAAAATAGTTATAGATAGTTGATGCGTTTCGCCTGTCACCTTAGGACACTTCATATTGTTCCTATATTTTTTTGCTTTTTACAATAAATAGTTATTTTTTATACATATAACTATAATAGTTCATTATTATAGTGGGGATCAGTGGAAATTTTCCTGATCCAGTCTGGAAACTCGATCCTCTGGATTTGGCAACTACAGGTTTTTTTTGGCATGTGTTATGTATTTGTTTTTAAAGTATAGTACGAGTGTCTTTCATATTTTTTTATTTTTTTAAATTAACACAATTTAAAAAAAAAAAAAGTGCATTCAATTTCCGTCAGCTTATCTAAAATAATTTAGAAATAGAATATTTTTCACAACAAGAACGCAGTTTGTAACATTATTACAATGAAAATATTAAATATGCTATTTCTCCCAATTTTTAATGCAGTAACCGTGCCGATGTCTATTTCTACTAACCCGATTACCCGATTGAAGAAAAATGAGGGATTTTTAAACCTAACTTACAGACAGAGATTAACAATTTCATGCTGAATCGTTCCAGGATAAATATAATGAGTCTGTAATGAGTTTCAAAGACTTGACCTCTAAAATGTTTTTTTTTTCTGCGCTCCCTATTAAATGCAATTATTCTGCAATTTTCAAATGACATTATCATTAGAATACTAACAGGAGATCTCTTTGTATTGTATTAGTAGAAATAAAATCATATTAGTCATAAAATGTTGAAATGGATAGAGATAAATCTTAAAAATTGTATATTAACTAAAATGTCATATTTAATTTATGTTTAATATTTAATTTATGTTTGTCTGTTTTTTATGTTATCCAAATAATAGATGTGAATAGATAGTTTTGTGCAAAATAAAATCTCCTAAATATTTGGATGTAAAAAAAGACACACTCTAAGCACCATAGCCACTCAATTTGTTTGTAGTTGTTACAGTGCAAGAAGACATTGAGTGCTGTTCCCCCATTTTCCATCTGCCGCTTTTTGGGTTTGATGTGAACCAGAACTCACCCAACACCCAAAGTCCTGTCCACAAATAATACAGGAGTTTTCATTCTCTGTGTTCTTAAAAAAGACATCCAACATTTAACCACAAAGATCGTTACCTTGTAAGGCTAATCGGCATTGGATGGATACTGGGAAAGTTAAACTTCTATTTTATCCAAGTGGCGAATGAAGAGCTTTTTGACATAAACGGGGGGAGGTAGGGCGGAGGGCAACCTTAGGCTCCCTGCACCATACCCACTGCGAGAAGTTGTACTGGTAAAGATGTTTTGACTGCCCATTTAACCAGATAGTATTTGTGAAAGCATAGATTCATGAAAATGTAAATGTACAAATTTGACTGACCCCTTAAATGTGTTTGGCACGTGGGTAGGCCATAGTGGGTTGTACTCTGCATATCAGCCAGTACAAAGGCAGGAATTTGAAACATCTTTGAATGCTTCCCTGTTGTTAAAGTTTTATTAATATTACTATTTCTAAGACACCAATAAATTCGGCAGCGCTGTACAATGGGTGGACTAAGAAACATAGAAACATAGAATGTGACGGCAGATAAGAACCATTCGGCCCATCTAGTCTGCCCAATTTTCTAAATACTTTCATTAGTCCCTAGCCTTATCTTATAGTTAGGATTGCCTTATGCCTATCCCACGCATGCTTAAACTCCTTTACTGTGTTAACCTCTACCACTTCAGCTGGAAGGATATTCCATGCATGCATTACCCTCTCAGTAAAGTAAGACTTCCTGATATTAAACCTTTGTCCCTCTAATTTAAGATTATGTCCTCTTGTTGTGGTAGTTTTTCTTCTTTTTAAATATAGTCTCCTCCTTTACTGTGTTGATTCCCTTTATGTATTTAAATGTTTCTATCATATCCCCCCGTCTCTAGTCTTTCCTCCAAGCTATACATGTTAAGATCCTTTAACCTTTCCTGGTAAGTTTTATCCTGCAATCCATGAACCAGTTTAGTAGCCCTTCTCTGAACCCTCTCTAAGGTATCAATATCCTTCTGAAGATACAGTCTCCAGTACTGTGTACAATACTCCAAGTGAGGTCTCACCAGTGTTCTGTACTGTTCTGTTCCTGTGAGTCCAAATATTCGTCAGAGTACAGAAGCTCTGTAGTGGTTATGGTAATTGGGGTGTTCCTATAATGTTGTGAATTGAAACTGAGTCAGAGTGGCTAAAATGCCACCACTTTGCGAACACAGCCAGCTCACTTCAAATAACCATTTTGGTGTAGTCACCCTACTGACACCGATCAGGAAAGAAATCCCTCTTTCAACTGCTAATACCTCTCCCTATACAACCAAGCATTCTGCTAGCATTTCCTGCTGCTCTATTACATTGTCTGCCTACCTTTAAGTCATCAGAAATAATCACCCCTAAATCCCTTTCCTCATATGTTGAGGTTAGGACTCTATCAAATATTCTGTACTCTGACGAATATTTGGACTCACAGGAACAGAGTGTGCTGCGGGCCCTGCTCAAACAAGCTTACATTCTGGCAGTCATTTGGTAGAGTGGCACAAGAGGTAAGGATAGGATGTATTTCATGTAAGGGAAAAAGTAGTTTGTGAGAATAGTTTACAGTTAACGGCTAGTTTATTGGATGACACATTTGCAGTAGAGAAAGCAAAGTGAGTTACCAAGGTGCCAGAAGGGATAGCTATTAACAGTTTAATTGATATGCTTTCCTAAATAAGTGAGTTTTCCATGATTTTTTTGAAGGAACATAGACTGATTGAGAATCTAATGGAACAGGGAAGGAGCTCCACAGGGTCAGTGCAGCCCAAGAGAAGTTTTGAAGGTCGTTGTTGGAGGTTTGAGTACAAAGAGAAGATAGACATAGGTTTTTGGCATAGCGTAGGAGCCTAGATATTATTAATGGGTATTATTAATGGTAGCACCAGTCTCCCTCCCAATATTTCTCTTGCTTTTCCAATAATTGCTGTATAGGAGGACGGACCTTTTATACATGCCGTCTCTTAATTAGGTTTCTTTTTCCTGTCCTATCTGGTTCTGAGGAGGGAGCTGACCATAAGTGATGTTGCAATGAATACTAGCCAGGAAAAGAAAATGACGATAAATACGGAATGAAATTTTCCTTATTTTCTAAGTGGTAAATTTTCACCTAAATTCTTTTAAAAAAAATTCTCAGGTTGAAATAATCGCTTTTATTCACTAAAGTATGAGTTCTGCAATTTTAGACTTAAATTTTAAATGCTCTTAGAAATTAATTTTCATTCTTGACAATGCACACATTAATGAATAATTAAATAACTTGAGCTTGTTCACTTACAAGATTATTTGCCAAAGTGTGAATGGTCAGGAATTCATTGTCAAAGTTATTTTAGTTATAAATTCAAAGTGAATTCAAAGTAAATGTCAAATTTAAGTTCAAAATAGTGGCACTGGAAGCATAGCTGACCTAGAGAATTTTTATTATTAGTTTTTAGGCTTTTTGGCATTTTCCTATTTTAAATGTAATATTCACTTTAAATTTTCACTTTAATGACTTAATATTTTCACAAAATATCCAAACGGAAAAGATTCTGTAAGTCTTTTATGTTTTCGGTTCACAAATCTTTGCCATAAAATTTAAAATTCACTTTGAGGTCACTTTTACTTCCTGCTAATTCAGCATTTAGTGACCTTTAAAGACTTACTTTACTCACATTCGTCAACTTATGTCACCTTGTCCTCTTCTAAGATTACATCAATAGATTTTCTTTATTTCCTAAACATAGGTTGTAAGCTTGTTTGTAGAGGGTCCTCTTCATTTAAATTTGTCTTCTTTCATATTATTCAGTGCTGCGGTATATGTTGGCACTATATAAATATTTGCAAGTGGTGAAACTTGACATCAAATCAGATGGGACAAGATTCCCCCATTTATACAAAAAGGGGTTCTGCTCTTGAGACCTAGGGAAATCTCTGAGCTTCCAGAATTTTGCCAAGTTTCAAAGCTGTACTGGCCCATTTATAGTCCATACATTTTGGATAACTTAATTTATATTAAAAAATATATATTTTATTTAAAAAAAAAATAGATTATGCAGGAGGCACACATTTATTACAAGCAGAGCAAAAAATCCTTTGGTATTTTTTAGCGATACATTAGAAGTCTTCTTTGTTGGGTTAATACAGTAAAAAAATAAATATATACCAGTGTACAAAAAAGTGTTCATTTAAATTAATATATAACCATCACTTACAGTAATAAAACAAAGATGTCTTTAATCAGTTATGTTATGAGATAATAATCCATTTATCTATATTAGTAAGAATACACGTTGCCCTCTAATGGAGTTGAACTGAATAATGATACATTATAAATCAAACCGCAAAGTTCATTCATGAACAATAAAATCAAAGGTTATGTAAGTATTGGAAAACGCGTGTACAGCCGGATGATTCTTTAGGGGTTTCTCCACTAAACAGCGAGTTGGCCGGGGATCTTGCAGAATTGGTTCTCAATAATTTTTGAAAATATTGCCATTTTGGCGGAAATGTTGTCCTAACTTAATGTAAAGTCCTAATTTAAAAGATTTAAAAGACAAATGGACGCACAGGAGCAGAGGGGTTGAGGGCCCTGCTCAATGAGCTTACATGCTAGAGGGAATGGGGTATCGTGACACAAAAGGTATAAATAGCGGTAATGAAATAGGTTGCTAGAAAAAGTATTCACTGAGAACTTAGGTTATTATTGACAGTTGCAGGAGAGGAGTCACTGAGGGAGAATGAAAACCCGCTAACAGTTTAAATTATATGCTTTCCTGAAGAAAAGATTTTTATGAAGGAGTGGAGACTGGGTGAAAGTCTAACGGAGAAGGGAAGGGAGTTCCACAGAAAAGGTGCAGCCCTGGAGAAGTTTTGGAGGCGAGCATCAGATGTGGGAGTACGGGCAGAGGATAGACGTTGGTCTTCGACAAAATGCAGGGGCCTCGACGGGACATATTTGTGTATTAGGGAGGATAGGTAGGTTGGAGCAGCATTATGTAAGGACTTGTAAGCAAGCACCAGAATCTTAAAGGGACACTATAGTCACCAGAACAACTACAGCTTATTGAATTTGTTCTGGTGAGTAGAATCATTACATTCAGGCTTTTTGCTGTAAACACTGTCTTTTCAGAGAGAATGCAGTCTTTACATTACAGCCTAGTGATAACTTCACTGGCCACTCCTCAGATGGCTGTTAGAGATCCTTCCTGGGTCATGGCTGCCTAAAATGCATCCAAACATTTAGTGTCTCCTCCCTCTGCATGCAGACACTGAACTTTCCTCATAGATATTCATTGATTCAATTCATCTCTATGAGGAGATGCTGATTGGCCAGGGCTGTGTTTGAATCATGCTGGCTCTGCCCCTGATCTGCCTCTTTGTCAGTCTTAGACAATCCTATGGGGAAGCACTGTGATTGGATCAGGCTACCACTTCTGACGATGTCAGCAGACTGCTTGTTTTTTTTAGGCAAACAGCATGCAGATCTACAGCTCCTGGCTTGAATACATTAAGGTTTTGCTATAGTTATGGAGGCATGAGGGGCCCAGGGGGGCTAGATGGTGGTTTTAACACTAGGAATGTTTGTGTTCCTGACCCTTTAGTGATCCTTTAAACTGAGCAGACTGGGGAGGTGTGGGAGGTGCAGGCAGACAGGAAAATGAGCCTCGCCGCCGCACTCATTATAGATTGCAATCTGGAAACACGCAAGACCACTGAGAAGAGGATTGCAGTAGTCAAGGCAAGAAAGAACAACCGCATGGACCAGCACCTTAGCTGCATCTGGTGTTAAATAGGGGCAGGTGTGAGCTATGTTTTTGAGATGGAAGCGGCATTTTTCAATGAATTCTCCAGAGGTTACTGTTTAGGGACTTTCGCCTCTCAATCATTAGTAGTGGAGACAGGGAGCAGTGCCTGGCAGAACATAAGTAAGAAGTCGCATAGTTCTAAATAGATTTGGCCCCTTACTATGGGAGGGGGCACCATGGCACTTTTTGCACCTTAACCAATGCTGTAGTGGTTATGGTGCATTGAGTGTTCCGTTAAACTACCACAAAACCGTGTAGCAGGGCAGCATACAGAAATTCACAGTATCATGAAAATGGGAAAATTGCTATACATAAAACCAGCAAACTCTTAATCTAAGAGAGAATTCAGCACTTAGAGTCCAATTTCAAAGTCCACAATTGAAGTTAATTTGCGGATAGTTTTTTAATGATCGAAGCAGCTGTGAACGTTGAGCTGGTGGTAATTCTATTTCCCTATGTTTGGACCAACAGCCAGCTCGGGTATATGTAAATGGTTGATCACTTGTACTTTCCTTTGGTTTAGGTAAGTCCGTTACTACGTGAATAACAAGGAAATGGAAGCCAAAATATAATAGAAATCGCATGACATTTTAATGCTTTATTTGCAGCGATGTTGTAAGTGGCGACCCTTTATCTCGTCATCTTTCTAAAACTTCTAATGGTGGTTGACATCAATGGCTTTCAGACAACGTATATTCAGCTTTTTGTAATGGAATGAATGCTATTCGGTTTATCATCCCTCGGTCTATCATTAGGTAGTGTTATGTACAAGCAGGTTTAGGTTGTGATTAGTGATTGGTATTTATACCTGTGATATTTCTATCATTCAGTAACAATATTGTTATAAGAGCAGTCAAATTGCTATTCTCGATGGATGTCCTTTATTTGTGTAAAGACACCTGGGATAACGCTTAGCTTTCCAGATCAAGTCCTCTGTGGCTATTACGAAGTATCGTGCTCTATAATACACAAACATGACTGCTTAGTCACGTTAGTTTGAGAAATTCTGAATATTCGGCTTGAGAGTGGCCCTTACATTTTACGAGAGCCTTGCTCTGAGGGCCTTTTGACGTGTCAGCTACTTTTGTAAATGGACTATAATGATGATGATTCACTGTTCAGATAAACATTCTGGCCCACCATTTCTTGATATGGCTTATTAATTGTCCCTGTTATTGTTTTTTAAAATACGTTAATATTGTATTTTTTATCATTTACTGTTTAAAAGATATTAAAACTTTTCTGTAGTGCAAAGCTTCAAATTTCAAATTTTATCCCACTAACCAGGCCACTTCGCTCTCCTGTTCTCACCCCCCACCCTTTTTTGTTATTTGTATTTATTGTTTTTTCTAAATCTTTTTGTATCTGTTTGTTCTATGCTCTGTTTCTACTTACTGTCCATGTCTGATATTTAGTTCCATGTTATCTTTAATTCTATCCAATATTCATACTATCGTATGGGCTGTATTTGAATAGACTGTTTGTGTGTGTGACATTTGTAAATTTTATTTGTTTTTTATTTTGTCTTTAAAGTTCTTTTTAAAGCTTTTTGGAACCACACTATTGTTGTTTTAATTGGTGCACGGTTATTGCGCTATAATAAAGTGAAAGGGAATGAGGACATACAATTCTTTATTTTCATCCTTGAGGCACAAAGGTATTACTGTTTGTGATTTTTGAATGCTAGACTTTATTTTTTTCAACTTATAGAATTCATTCTATATGTTTAGATTGGAATTTTTTTTTTGTACTATGCTGTAATATGACTGTGTAAGTGCCACTATGTGACTTACATCTCCAAGCTTGGAGGGTCCATGGCACGCTCACCAGGGATGCATTTCTGCATTTCTATTTGCCAAGGTGACACCGTGCCTCAAATGACCCTTT